TTACTTTCCAAAGCCAATGTGGCGGCCTGAAGCGCGTGTTCTAATTGAGTCACTGCTTCGCTGCCATATTCGGAATCGCCTCGCGTTCGAAACAGTTCGAGAATGGCTGCTACGACATCGGACGAATCGCCCTTCTTCAAATCGCTTAGTACGCTCACCGCGTTCTCCACCAAGGTTTTGAGGGGGATGCTGGATACGCACTATGGATACACGCATCGTGACTTACAGTCAACATGCGATTGCCAGTGGAGAAGCAGGAGGGTTCGCCCCCGGCAGCTACGGCCGTAAAGAGAATACGATCGCTTTAGTTCAAGAAGTCTTCGCTGCGATGGCCATCGTGTTCAGGATGTTCGACATCTTGAGGCGATTCGACGTTTGGATCGTCGTCGGCAAAAGAGGCGCCGATTTCATAGCAAAGTTCGTTCAAACGGCGGCAACGGATCACGGTGCATGTCAAACGCTGAGCCGAAGTCCACAGGGTGATTTGCTCGCCGGGGTAGAGCTCGGTATCGTGCAGAAAGCGGATTCCTGTCGATGAAATATCTACGGAATAGCCTACGACGTACTGATGATTTCGGGGTACGGAAGGAAGCGACGCGAACGACTCAATCAGCAGTTTGCCAGGGCAATACATGCGCGTCGTGCGGCGCATGTCGAGTGCTTGCGCCGGCAGCACACCGCGGCGGTTTTCCAAGTCGGCAAATTGATCCGGCAGCTGAATTCGACAACGCAGCCGGTCCAAGAGCAGCTTCATTTTTTGAGAATAGACTGTTTCCAACATCGATACATTTCCTGATCCAAGCCGACCGACAAATGTTGGTCCATCATCTTGACCGCTTCATTTAGCGAATATCGCTGGCGATACGGCCGATGACTGATGAGCGATTCAAACACATTCACAACACTGCACAGACGCGCCCAAGGGTGAATCTCGTCCCCCATCGCGCCAACAGGGTACCCTTTGCCATTTACGCGTTCGTGATGTTGATAGACGACCATCAACTGGGCGAATGAAACATCGACGCGTTGTGCCAACCGACGAAAGCCAAGGGCCGGATGCTTTTGGGCGATTCTTTGTTCGCGGCGCTGCAGACGATCGTTCTTGGAAAGGATCCGCTCGCTGACCGAGAGCTTTCCGACATCGTGCAGAATGCCAGAGGCCGCCACCGAAGGAAGTTCATCGTCGCCCACAAGTCGCAGCTCGCGAGCGAGGGCAACCATCATGTATGAAACATTTAGCGAGTGCGTCACCGTTTGATAATCGTGATGCAGCAGCGACACCAAGTCTCCCGCAGTCATGTCATCGCGACACAACAGACGTACCGCGAGTGCCGAGATCGTTCCGGCCCCACGCATCACCTCGTCGGTATCGTCCGATTCGAACGCCGAAGCAAGAATGCCTTCGACGACGACGTTGAGTTTCTGGAAACGATCCTTGAGCGAAATCGTTTCATCCCGAATCAGAAGGTCGAGCTTCCTGCGGATCAGACGCTGCATGTCGTCGTGATCAATATCGGAAGCGTACAACCAGTTCGTTTTCGNNGACCAATCGCTGCAAGTCTTCCGGCAGCATTGGTAATGTGGCGGCCCGATAAAGTCGGAATCGCCCGCTTTCTTTATCCTTGCAATACAGATCTACGGCAGGCACCTCTTCCGCGGACAACAGTCCTACCGGAATGGGTGTATAGCCAAGGCATTGCGTCGCAATGGTCGAAGAAGATGCCATGTCACTTGTGGATGCAGTGCTGCCAGGTAAGCCGGTCTGGCCCATGCAGATCGGCAATCATTACGCTGCTAAAGAGTAGGTCACAGCGCTGCCTGAGTACTGTTGAAGATAGTCATCTCCCCCACAGCTTGCGGGAAACCCACCTGCAGGATGGCGAAGGGGTCTGCCTGGCGCGATGATGACGATTATGAGAGCAAGCAGTGATCGCCGGTGTGCGCGTTTCTAGTTCGCTTGGCAAAGACGCCGCTGCACATTTAACGCAAAGAGGCCGTCTACTGCCCAAGCACCAACTGATTGCCCAGGACCAGCTCGATCGCCAAACGGCAAAGCATGAACAGGACGACAACAAAAATGCCCCACGTCAGGCATTGGTTCATCCGATCGATTCGCGTCATGCCGAGCACGTCGATCCAAGAGGGAGGTGGCAGGCTCTTCACAATACTGGGCGTTACCTTCCACAACGGCTTGATCGCCTGCATCCCAGCCAGCCACCAGCTCGGAAGCCGCAACCAACGAAAGGGACGAACGCTGGTTTCAGTTTGCCCGTGCCCTGCTTTGGTTTCGGTGAAATGCCCTTGAATCCATTTGCCCATCGCGAAGTACCAGCTATGTGGCTCTTCGCCAATGGGACTGTAGGGGCCCATGTATTCGTCCAACTTGGGCGTGCGTCGAAACACCGTGTTGGCCGCTTCCAACTTATGAATGCTTCGCGTCAACGCGATTCGCTGCCAGACGCACAGGATCATCGCAAGAATTGTCGCGTAAAACAAAATGCCATCGACACCGCCGATGGCCAGGTACGCCCACGTGGCCGGTTTATCCAGACCGCTCACCAAAGGCCGGTAGTATTCTTCGTACCGAAATTCCAGGAACTCCTGCAGTTCGTACCCGGTATGTGGCACTTTAAAAAAGTTGGCCGAGATCTCTTCCAGCCGCGCAGGCACCGAAGGTTCAATCAGGTCTTTCGGCGACTTGAAATAGTTTCCAAAACCAAATGGGACTGCCCATAAGCAAAAGATCAGCGCGACGAGTCCCAACCGCTGCCAGGTATATGTCTGCAAAAGCCGCGTCCAGGGATCGTTCGCTTTGGCATCGAACTCGCCCCCGGTCACGAATGTCTGATCGAGCAGCAGCCCGTGGGTTCCCTTGAGGTTGCAATCGCCAAGGTTGGCCTGACGCAAAATGGCCGCGGTGAAGTCTGCCCCTTCGCAGTCCGCGCCATGGGCGGTCGCTCCGTGCAGATTGGCTCGCTGCAGCTCGGCATCTTTCAGGCTCGCGTTCTGCAGATTCGCATAGTTCAAATCGGCTTCGATCAAGTTCGCTTTGTCGAGGCACGTCGACTCGAAGATCGCGTCGGCCAGGTTCGCTCGAAAGAAACTCGCCCCAGCCATATCGGCTCGGCTGAAATCGGAACCGGCCAGCTTCGCACGTTCAAACGAAGTTGCGTGACAACGCGCTTCCTTCAGCTTGGCGGAAGTTAAAACGGCTTCGTCCAAGTTAGCTTGATCGAGCGTGGCTGAACGCAAATTGGCATGATCAAGATTGGCATCTTTCAGCAGCACCCCCGTCATGTCGGCATCGGCGAAGTCGCCAAATGAAAGATTCGCTTCTTCCAGGATGGCCCCTGCCAGGCGTGCTCCACGAAAATCGCTGGCCGCAATGGTCGCGTCCCGCAGTACGGCCCCTTCCAAATGGATCCCTCGCAAGTCGACGCTTCGCAGCGAAACGCCCTCTAAGTGAACCACTTTGTCTTGCGGCTGGTCCCCTTCCAAGGCATCGTGACGCCACTGGTTCCAAGCCTGAAAACGCTCGGGATCAGTGTTCGGTTTGCGGAGGCCAGTTTCCAGATGAACGAGGTGAACCCAGTCGCCAGTGAAGTTAGGGTGCTTATTGCGCAAGTCGACCAACGTTTCAGGCGTCAATTTGCCCTCGTTGTAGGCCGTCTTGGACACGGAAGCGGATTCCGCAACAATTACCGGTGGCTGCGACTTATTCATCAGAGCGATTGCGGTGAACGGGCTTTCAGACCCCACTATGGTGTCAATTCCTTAAAGAGCCACCAAGATACGGGCATCGCGCAAGGTTCGATAGTCGCACTGTGTGAAGATCGTGTTACGACTTATTTGAAACCCTTAACTGATCGATAAACTGCGACCGTGCCCCCCGTCATCAACATTCAAAACGCCACGAAGCGATTCGGTCATAAAGTACTCTTGGACAGCGCCACTGCGGCCATTACGGACGACCACAAAGTTGGCCTGGTCGGCCGCAACGGTGCCGGCAAGTCGA